TTTCTCATTTGAGCTATAGTAATCTTCGAAACACTAGCAAAATTTACCTTCGTATTCTAATGTATATAAAAGGATTGCCGACGTTCGAGCGATTCACAGAATACGCCCGAGCGTCGCTTACTGCTGCTATTGTAGTGTGCGTGAGAATTTGTTATTTATTGTGAAAAATTTGTCATTATTGTGAATATGTTATATTTGAGTTTGTCACGCCCGGAGGGAGGCAAGGCGAGAGTTATGAAACAGATAGCATTTTTGAAAATGTCTACTCGCGTCGCGTATCGGCACTTCACAAACCTGATTTTGATTTACCACATGCTCGGTGGTGAAGAAAAACATCGTAAGTAAACCTACAAATATGGGAAAAAAATTTTTCGAAGATGTGAAGTCCATCAACACGCATTTGGACAGTGCGACAGATATTTGCCTTCGTATTGTCATCTACAATGGGACTACTATTCTTTATTCCATGCAGGATTCGGGCCTTGGGGAGTTCCCCATTACACGGGTAATCCTCACAGCTCATATCTATGAGCCGGTCCTGGGAGCCGTACATGTACGGCATTTTCGGTAATCTTCTAGGCGTATTGCGCGCCACCAGGTAGGTGCTACCGAAGGGTCAACCGTCTCAAAGCCCCGCGGAGTCCCGAGGTAAGGAGTCGACGCAGTGCCAATCTTGCCGACAGGAGTGCGCTCCTGACAGCAGCACTCCGGGCCTCCAGTGCTCCTTTCTGGCTCTAGGTGATGGCCTGGTATCCCTAGGCAGAAGTTGGCGTATCTCGCGCCTCTGGGAAGGGATCTGCCGAAGGGTCAGCAACCTCCAGGTCCCGCGGAGACGCATCTCGAAAGAAGTCACCAACAGGCGCGCGACTCCCAGCAGCGCGCCGGGCCTTCGGAGTTCACTTCCCAGCATGTAGATTAAACGCAGTGTTAGGTACGTAACATCTCGGGTGGGGTCAGGGGCGTCCTCGAGGCTCTACGCAAGCCGAGTTGGCCCCACAGCACATGCACCCACTGCGAAGCGACGCGCTGTACTTCTCCCACCCGGGCGGGAGTCGACCGACCGACGGACGAGACCGCTTGCTAGCGCGGTCTGGACGAGACTCTGATACTTGCCTACGCCCAGCAGTGGCAAATATAGGCTGTAACTTTACTAATTATACAACCGACTTTGTACTGTATAATGTTACTATGGAATAAACGACTCGCTGGGTTTTTAACCTATTTATTCCACTTGGTTTTTCTCAAGACAGGGGTTTTCTTTCCGAAGCAGTGGTAAAATTAAAATAGCTTTCTTTAGGAATTATTTCTAACGTTTATTTAATAAAACTATTCCATTAAAATATGATGTGTACACTGTACTGTACATTTTCTTAAATCCACATAAAGTAGACTAATAAAATAGTAAGTTTACAAAATTATCAAAATGAGCACATTACGGAATATCAATAAAACGGTAATACAGAGTAACACTAAGATCGCCGTAAGAGACTGTTAGCAACTACGAGTATATTCGAATGAATATTTAAATAAAGCGAATAACTGAAAAGTGGCGTAACAGTTTTATTGAGTAAAATCCTCCTTCATGTTTTTCTTTTAAGGCTCAACTGGAAGAACTCTTACAGAATAAAGTAAAAAAGTTAAAGCCTATACACATCCGACTACGAGACAGAGGCCTCTTTCATTTCTGCTTTCTGAGAGGGTTATATGGCAAAGAAACGTCCGCCGCGCTGCGTATTTGCGAACTTTACATGTCTTCGAAATATCTTTTCTTATTTCTCAGATATTCAGGTTTCCTCGCGATATTTAATTTCACCGCCGAGCATGTAATAAATAAGCAAATAGAATTGGAATTAACGATTTTTTTGGTGCCGGAGGGGATCGAACCTGGGTTGCCAAAGTTCTGTGAAATTTAAAACAAGCGCTTAGCCCCCGAGCTAAAACGGCAGAATACTAGAGTGTAATAGAAGCTTAGCTGCTATGTCTCGTATTGTGAATGTCGAAAACCGGAGACCCTTTTTACTGGTAACGAGGCGTTCCATCTTAGTACTAAGAGATGACGACGCATCTGCATGTAATTCTTAATCAAGAATAGACATAGATGTATATAGCATTTATAAGTGGGTGGATCAGGGGGACTGTGTGCTCTTTATTCATCCTTATTCTATAAAAAAAGTTTATAATGATGAGCCACGGTAGATAAGCATTAACGAAATTATAAATTGCTGTTTTAAGTACTGATGTACCAGGGACTCGGTGGTGAAAACTGAATAAACTGATAAATTAAAAAAATAAATAAAATTATTTTCGAAGATGTTTAGAGTTTTTCAACACGCATTGAGTGTGGACACTTGACTTGAACCTAGTCTCAAAACTAAGAGGCGGCCTATGCCCAGAAGGTACGTATGTAGGCAATCACTATCTCTCTCTTTTATACTTTACCAGTATAATAGAGAGAGATAGTGTTTTCATGTGTTTGTTTAGCATGTTTCGCATTGTAAGTAGCGATAACTGGAGACCAGTTTATTGGTAACGAGCCATTTCATCTTAGCTCCTCGGGTGTCATAACGCATCTGCATTTTAGTTCGTCGTTCCCCGTCGTGGATAGATGAAAATGCTTGCAGCCACAGCATCCTTTTCACATCAGTAGAACCGAGTACACAGTCATGTATTAATATAAAATATATTTCATTGTACCAAAGTCGTATGAAGCCTTAATATATTTTTATTTATTTATTTATTGAAGTCAAAAACACTTTATATAAAATGAAAACTTATAAAATTACTAGCTTGCCAGGCAGACGTTGTTCTGTCCTTTTCGAAGACCCTTTGTCACATCCTACTAAAATTCCTTAAATTCGGAAAAAAATTGTGGTTCATCATGGGCAAAAAAAAACTATCCTATCTCAGGGTAAGAAATTGTGTAATAAGAGAAGAGTGTGGTTTGCAAGATGATGTTGTGACCAGGATTAAGAAAGGAATGTTTCGGTGGTTTGGTCATGTGGATAGAATTAATGAGGAAAGAGTGACAAAGAAAATTTATATTGCAGAAGTGAATGGCAGAGTCGGAAAGGGACGTCCTAGGCGAAAATTTATCGACCAAATTGGCGATTTATTGAAAACGGGCCAAATTAGGAGTACCCTTAACCGACGAGCAAGTATGCGTAGGTGTATGGATGTGAAGGAGGCGAGAGAGGTGTGTCAGGATCGTGCCAAATGAAAGTCTGTAGTCTCTGCCTACCCGTCTGGGTGACAGGCGTGAGTGTTTATGTTATGTTATATATTATTAAATGGCTGTTTTAGTCACTAAATTAAAATCCAGTTATGAAGGAGTGGTATGTATGTATATATATATATATATATATATATATATATATATATATATATATATATATATATATAAAGATATAAAACAAGACTTAATCTAACTCTTATATTATATTAGGGTATATTTAGCAACCCTGATAGGTCACAGACCCGTTACAGCTTTTATTAAAGTTCTTGATAAAAGTGCATCAAACATGAAATAACGATTTCTTACATTTACGCGAACACTACACATTGAATAAAACTATTATTTATAGATTTTATCGCGTTTAATAACTTTACGAGTAATTTAATTTTATTATTATCCCGATGTTTCGGGTGCTTTACAGCATCCATGGCCACGAGGGGAACGTCGGGATAATAATAAAAATAAATTAAAGTAATTAAACGCGATAAAATCCGTAAATAATAGTTTTATTAAACATGAAATAATTACTTTGGTAAAAATATTTTTATTGTTTTTCTTCTCACAACTATAAAGACGCACCACGTAATCTGCGTCAAATAAGCCTGTCTGCAGCCTGCCTGTAGCCTGCCCCGCCCACATTGTTCCTGTATCTGGTCAGGAATCTTCCGATATTATCTGGCTTAGCGTGTTATCCACATTACGACACGTTTTCACAAGTACATACTACAGGCATTTTTATTTAAATTGTGACTTGGATTGGCGTATAATATACTTGTTTCACTTTTATTTTAATTTATTCACTGTAAAACCGATCGGTTTTCCCTTACGGCATCATCAGGTTATTGGTGTTTTGTTTAGGGTGTTGGTACCAGTACAAGTATAAATTATTTTTTTCAATCCATTTAAGCTGTTTCATCTGAAAAGATCGTGGTCCTTCACTGCTGGCCGTATGAGGACGCTCAAGGTCGCTCAGCTAGCTATGGAGAGGGCTATGCTCGGAGTTTCTCTGCGTGATAGACTCAGAAATGAGGATATCCGCAGTAAAACCAGAGTGACCGACATAGCCCAACGGATTAGTAAGCTGAAGTGGCAATGGGCCGGCCATGTAGCTCGAAGAACCGATAACCGATGGGGAAGAAAGGTTCTCGAGTGGCAGCCTCGTACCGGTAGGCGTAGTGTAGGGCGACCCCCCACTAGATGGAGTGACGACCTGGTAAGACATGCAGGAAGTCGATGGATGCAGGTGGCTCAGGACCGTGCTTTCTGGCGTTACTTGGGGGAGGCCTATGTTCAGCAGTGGACTTGTGAAGGCCTATAATGATGAATGATGATGATCTGAAAAAAAACTATGTCTGAATATGTTTACAGTGTGAACAGATCAACTGGACGTTTTTTTTACTTAGGCATTAGACTTTGATTTTATCGAAAGCATTTTTCAAACGTGTATTTAATCAAGTTAAGATTCTTATTTACCGTAACGAGATTGAAATTAATAATTTAATGGTTACAAGAAAATTTCATTTGTTATGCTTTTCGTTTTGTGTAGATATTATAAAGAAGATTAAATATGTTATCAAAAAAAGGATTTCAATATAACTATAAGCTACGAGTGCAGATATTCAAGGTGGAATATTTTATGTACTAAAATGCGTTTCAATATATGAACTTAAGAGTCACAGGCTACATGGTACATTTATTAGAAGGTCAAAATAATTTTATGCCTAATGTAATAATATTGAGTCAACTACAAGGAGATCTATGGCAGTAACTACGTGTGGAGGTTGCTCTGCAACTCATAGAGCCGCATTTCCGGTCGTAGTATTTTCATCCGACAAGAGAACGGCCTCACTTCGTAGCCGTTCGAGTACGGCGTCATCAAATATTTTTGAGCGCACCGAACCGTGTGCCGAACTAAGTTTGCAAGATTTTGCAAGGTGACGGTAATAGACATCTCCAGGTCAGCATAAAGTTGATGCACCGTTGCTTGGTACACAAAACAGCCAACTTTTGTCCCAAAATACGCCCGCAATGCGTTTTTATTCATTGCCATTGTTCGTAGCTCGCGGAGTATTCTACTAGCGGCAGGTGCAGTTTGTTGAGTCTGATAGGACCCTGCCGACACCAAACCATTTGGTGGAATGATGGATGTGAGGGGCTGCCAGGTGGTCGTACTAGGTGGCGACTCGCATGCTCTCGGGTCCAGTGCCAGCAGACCCCCAGGCAGCGGTCTTTTGTGTATTTGTCCATCATCCATTTTTTTTGGACGTCAATTAACGGAGAAAGGCCCAGACCCCGAGCCATTTTATGATGAGGTCATATACAAGAAGGCATAGAGTACGAAATGAATTCTTGTATTGGGATTTATCAGTTGCTCAAATTTCGATACACTATATCTAAATCGAAGGAAAAGAGAAGAAAAAAGCAGCTTCAAGAATAAATTTGAACATAAGCTCCTCATATATTGTGCAAAACCCAAATCGTTCTAGGTCCCGAAATAATGTTTTAACATATACCGATCCTCATGTTAAGAGATTCAGTTTATCCATAGGCGTGTAAAGTATTTCTTCTGGAAATTAATGCGAAAAGCGGGGTTTAAATGTAAAAGACCTTGCATATCTAGTTAAATTAATGCTTTCTGGAATTTAATTAAAGTTATTTATTTTAATACGATGCAGTTAAATTATTCTTAGTTATTTCTTACATTTACGTGAACACTATAGTTAAATAAATCTGTTATACGTATTATGTCGTGTTTGGTTGTTATTAAAACGTGATTAAATTCGTGAATGTATGAATTATTCTTATATGAATTCCTATTTACAGAAAAAATCCCAAAGATGGACCTAGCACAGCCCCGACAACGTCAAAAATTGATATCAAAACTTCACCATGACGCACAAAAACCATGTATTCAGAGACGTGTCATGCTTGGTTTCTGGGGTACTTTGATATATATAACTTAAGAAAGTGTATTTCCGAATATGGAAATATTCGGAAATATACTTTTTCCATTTAAACTTACAGCTTACTTACAGTTTAACTTAATTGTTTGCCGTATGTCGTATGCCCTTAATCGGTTCTATAACTTTATTTACTTTTTATTTCAAGCAAACTCCATCAACTTTTAGGTTACAACGTGTTATTACTGAAATAAATTGCCAGTGAATGCTTACTATTAATATATTGAAAGGATAAAACATATAAAGACTCTTATTTAGAATTACTACACATTACAGAATCTTAAGACTTAGGAAAACTCCTTTCGAAATATTTACAGATGAAGAATTTAAATTGAGATATTATCGCGTTGGTAAGAACATGTGCTACACCTAAGTGATATCTTCAGTCCTGCTTTAGCTCTCATTATGCATTGCAAATACCTATACCAGTACTGGTAAAACATTATTTCTGCTTTGCTTATATATTATATACAATATGTAACGTAATTAACGCACACCCTCAGACACCCAATTAGTAAATTATGTTATCATATCATAATACATACACTGAATTTTTAGTTAAACATTTTTATGCACTGATTATTTATCAAATTAGTTACACTAATTCCGGAAGAATGTTGTGGTCACAGTACAAATCCACGAACGCAAATACATTAACGTGCTTGAAATAAAGTTCATTTTTTCTTTATTTTTATTGAATGGCAGAATTAGTAATAATACAAATAAAACTGCCCTCTTAAAAGTCTTATTGCCTTAAGTTACGGTCCATTTCAGTTTCTTTTGACTGTACAGATTTAGTGTGACTGTAATTTACGTAGTTTTAATTATTTTTGTGATAAAAAATTACCTATATTAAAAATGATAGGAATCGATTCAGTAAATGATTCTAAACAAACTACTTTCTCAAAAGGACGTTAAGTATGTTACGTGTTGTATAAGCAACGAATGTTTTTTTTTTTAATTTCAATATTTTAATTTTTCTGTATGCCAATACCAGTATCATTATTTATAAGCATATCAGTTACATAATATTTGATGTAGTATTAAACTAAGAATTCAAGAAGGTTGTAAATTCAGTACGTATGTGTTTTGCATGTTCCCGATATTTCGGAAACCGATGATCCGATTTAGAAGATTTTTTTATTTAATAGCTTATAGTTCGGGAGTAGTGCTATATTTTTAAAGGGGGGTGAAACGAGCATACAGCTAACTTTATGGTAAGTGCTAACCGCCGCCTACGAACAACTGCATCTGTGATTGCAGGTGCATTGCCAACCTTTTAAAAATAAGTAACCTCGTTTTTCGAGGATATCTGAGTAGCATTTAAAAATCTATTAGTATGTAAAAACAATAATACCCATAAAAACAAACAAAACCGATAATACACATACACCGGTGCGTCAACAGCTAAGCCATGATGTGAGTGTTATTAATGAATGCTTAGATGTATCGATGTATGGCTCCGATAATGTCACCTTCCGTAATAGACAGAGCCAGGCACCAAGGGTTATAAAGCCCGACCAGTGCCCACATAATATGGCACCTGTAGTGCAGGAAATTAAACAAATTCAGGACGAATTCGAATCACGCTTAACTACGAAAATTTGCATGTTACTAACTGAGCAATTTAATGAATTCAAGACAATAGTATTTGATAAAATAAACCATCTTAAATGTAAAATTGATACATTGAAAAAAATGTCCAAATAGTAGATCAACGTAACAGTGCACCAACGCAGGACAGTACAGTAGCGGTGCAAAAATCCGCCAATCCCGCCTTAAACATAGATGTTGGGAAGACAAAGGTAAAAAATCTAACAGGCATACAGCAGCGAAAAAGGAAGATGCTGGTAAGCCTTTTTACATCTTATAAAGTTAAAACAACTACATCTTCTTCGCCACCACCTCCTCCGACCTTTGCTTCTGTGTTGGACGCATCGAATATAAATATACATCTTGACGCAACCTTAGAGACCACAGATACAGTTGAACAAGAAAACCAGGAGGAGTGGATACATGTGCGACGGAAACCTGAACGAGCATCATGGCTGGGAGTGCTCCGTGGAACGGCTGCACCTGGAACAACTGAGCTTCGTGCATCTGAGCGGTGAAGGTACCTAAATCTCTACTACGTGCAGGAGGGTACCACTGTTGAACAGGTGCGTGCACATTTGTATTCAATTTGCGGTAATAATAAATGCACAGTAGAAGTACTGAAATCTCGGGGCGCTACTCATCATTTAAGTTGGGAGTACCATTGAAGATTGCTGACAGTATTATGTCATCTAATAATTGGGCTGAAGACATCCGCGTAAAACCGTGGCGACAGAACTTTCGTGACAAAGAAAAAAGAGCGTAACCTTGTTGGTAAAAATAAAACGACAGAAATATTATACCAAAATGTAAGAGGATTACGAACAAAAATAATGCAATTCTTCTCGCTCGTTGAGTCATCGGTATATGATTTATTTGCCATAACGGAAACTGGTCTCAACGCATCATTCCAAGATGCAGAAATCGTCCCCCCCCGGCTACCAAATACTACGCTGCGATCGAACAGACGGCCGTAAGCAGGGAGGAACGTGTTTAGTGGCAGCACCGTGGTTTGAGCTGCGTAACGTGCCTACACCGGATAATGTTAACGTGGATGATCATGCGTTTGAATTAACCTGTGCTACAATACACTTAAGAAACAGATTCTTATTTACATGTTGTGTAGTGTACATTCTGCCCGAGACTAATTTTGAAGAATATATGATTATGTTTAGCGTCATAGAAGATATATGTGTAAACTACAAAAAATAATGTCTTAGTTTTAGGAGATTTTAATTTTTATTCAGCCAATCAAGATGTTTGTAATTATTTTGAGTATTTTATGTCCTTCTGTGAATTCATCCAGGGCAGTAGTGTTGAGAATTTCATAGGCAGACAGTTAGACTTAGTATTATACGGCAGTGGTATAACAGGTGTGATATCAGTGAGTGAGACTTAGGGTTTACAACCGGTAGATGATTGTCATCCACCATTGATGGTCTGCCTGTCAGCGACGGATTTTGAAGAACACGCTACAACGGAAAACAAATGCTCAGGTGACCAGAAACTATGGAACTTTTCTAAGGCAGACTTCAGTTTGTTATACAGTAGTATTTCTGTGATTGATTGGAGTGAAATATACACCATTTTTGATTTAGAGGTTGCTCTAGACTATTTCTATCGTACTATAAATAATATATTTAATAAATGTGTTCCTGTTAAAAAGCATAGGTTAGCAAATAGTAGGTATAGCTACCCACCATGGTATTCGATGGAGGTCATTCGCGAAATACAACTTAAATACAAGTTACATAAAAAATATAAGGCCAGTGGGTCAAAAGATGACTATCATGCTTTTTCGCAATGTAGAGCGTGAGTTATAAAAGCAATTAATGAAGCTCATAGTACTTACCAGGAGCGAGCGCAGAATAGTTTTGTGAAAAATCCAAAGGGGTTTTGGACTTTCGTGACAAATGAACGAGGTGGTATCAATAAAAATTAATTAATTAAGGATGGGCGTTTCTTATCAGAGAGCGAATGTGCAAATGAATTATGTATAACTCGGAACCTGCCGTGTTAGACGTGGCGGCAGCGGCAAGCGCGGCTTGCGCGCCGGGTGGCGGGTGGCGGTTACGCGCATCGTGTGCACCTCAACGAGCTGAGCCTTGCAGACGTGCGCCGCGCGTTGACCAAACTTAAGCCCAAACGCTCCACAGGTCCAGATGGTATACCTCCGTATATTGTTAGAGATTGTCGTGAGGCATTCGAGGCCCCGTTTCTCCATATATTTAATATCTGTCTCAACAGTGCAGTTTTTCCTAATATATGGAAGTTAACCAGGATGGTGCCGGTACCCAAAGGCAGTGGTGGTACAAAAGTTTCGGATTATAGACCAGTGGCAGTTCTGTGTACGCTGACAAAGGTTTTTGAGTCAGCATTACATCACTCACTATATACGCAGGTAAGCGCTCAACTTTCGGACGCGCAACATGGATTTCGCCCGGCGCGTAGCACCGGCAGTAATCTGCTTCATCTGATGTCAGAAGTGGTACCAGCAGTGGATTCGGGAGCACAGGTGGATGTCGCATACCTTGACTTCCGTAAGGCGTTTGACACGTTCGACAACGATATCTTAATCATGAAACTGGCGCAGGCGAGTTGTCGTTGTCGTCGTCGGGCATTGTCATTTTTCGCCAGTTACATGAGAAACAGGAGCCAATTTGTAGACTGGGCTGGTCAACTGTCAGAACCATACCTTACC